CCCTACTATACCTTACGATACATAGATAGCATACGATACATCGCCAACACTCGAGAAACGAACTCTTCAGTACCTGCGCTTCAGTGAGCGGTACTTGTCCTCACGGACGCGTAGCCTTGGTTCCTGCTGCATACTAGCCAAAAGCAGTATTGGGCCCTACGTGAACTGCAAATCTCAGTGTCGTCTCGGGCGCCGTAGGTGTAAGCTAGTTTACAACGGCCTTTCGTAGTACGCGCACCTCCTCGTCCTCCCCCCATCCAACGTGGCTGCCTGCCAAGGCCTCGTTCACGCCTTCGATTCTCAGGACCTCGTTGACGTCTACATCCCAGACGGTCCTGACGCCCTTATCCTCACCTGCGAGCAGCAGCCGTGCCCAAATCGGACACCTCGATCAATCGACCAGGACTATCCGCGCTACAAAGCGATCCAAAGGACACAACATCCGCTCGGTCCTCGAAGCACCCTTGCATCTCGATCTGCCTCGCGGCACTCTCGCCCTGTCTCCCCCAGCTCCCGCCTTCCCCAAACTGTCACCGGTTCCAGTCAAGTACGAGGAGATCTCCCTCCAGACCCTGCGCCAGAGCCTGAGCCTGAGGAGGGTGCGAGTGAAGAAGGAGTCTCAGAGTCCGAGTCCGCGGGTTCTGCTTGGTCCACCTCGCCGACAGCGCTCGCCCCCGCGTCAGCAGTCCCTGACGTACGTGACCCCGCCTCCGGGCTTCCTCCAGCACCTCCACCGCCGTCACCGCCGCGAGGCCGCTCGCGCACTCGCTCCCCTCGTAGTCCGACCAGCGGAGGGCCACCACAGCCGCCTCCACCCCCGCAGCGTCCTCCGTCCCCCCCGATGCCGATAATGTCTTCTCCCGCGACCGCCCCCGACAAGGAGACCCTGAAGCTCCTCCTCCCTCTCCGCTATGATGGCAAAACCGTCATCGAGTGCGACAGGTTCCTGTCGCAACTCCGCATCTACTGGTTGATCAATATGTCGTTGACAACCATCGAGCTGAAGGTGCAGGTTGCGCTTAGCCTGCTCGATGGAGATGCCCGCGCCTGGGCCACTCCATACTTCGCCCAACTCGCATCGGTGCAGATGGGTGTACAAGGGGTCACAACCCCCTTCAGGGACGAAGCGGCCTTCACCGCTGCCTTCAAGGCCCGCTTCGGAAATCTCGACGACGAAGCAGCAGCACAAGTAGAGCTGGCGAAGCTCTGCGCGGACAAGTCGGTCCGCGAAAAACGCACCGCTGCGGAATTCTCCGCGCTATTCAAGGGTCCGGCGGACCGTTCCGGGTATGGGGACCTGGAACTACGCGACAAGTACCTGAGCGGCATCCCCTCCCACGTCTATCGCAAGATCGAACTCGAGACCTTTACCACGTGGCGAGCAGCTGAGAAGCGCGCCACTGAGGTCGAGCAGATTCTCGACATTAGCCGGGCCCATTGGCCTGAGTTGAACAACTTCTTCTCGGCCCGAGGTCGAGGACACGGAGGGGCACGTGGTGGTGCACCTCAGTCACACGGAGCTTCGGCCAGCATCAATGCGGCCGTTGGAAAAGGAGACTTCCCGGGCAGTTGTTTTGGCTGCGGGAAGCAAGGGTACCGTCATTTCGAGTGCCCTAACTGTAAGGACAAACCTTACACGAAACGCGCTGATGCGCGGGCTACGGTTGCCTCGGGTTCCACCCAGGCGGCGACAAGCGCCCCCATCGCTTCATCCTCAGCGAGTACAAGCACCGCTTCAGCGAAATCGGATAGTTCGGAGCTGGCGGACTTGATAGCACAGATGAAGTCGATGCGTGAGGAACTGGAGCACTATCGAGCGCTCAAAGAAGAGTCTTTTTGATCCGGTCCGCGCTTCGTGCCGCACGCGTCGGGCCGCGAGTATCATCATGTAATAGATATAACGTATTGTCGACTGCAATGGTGTATGAGTTGGACCAGGGGTCCCAGCACTTTCACATTCCAGTCCGACTCCAAGGGAAAAGACGGCACAAGGACATAATCGCTATGGTGGACAGCGGAGCCACCACGAAGTTTATCAACAAGCGATTCATTATAGAAAATAAGGTGCGGACGTGGAAACTAAAAGAGCCGATTCCGCTATACAATATTGACGGCACCCTCAATAAAGACGGAAGCATCTCGGAAGTAGCAGTGCTACAGATGCAGATAGGAGAACACGTCGAGAAGACAGTGTTTACGGTCACGGACATCGGTCCGGAAGATGTGATCGTTGGGTTGGATTGGCTGCGTGAGCACAACCCCGAAATCGATTGGGAGAAAGGCTCCCTCAAATTATCGCGATGCCCTGAAACGTGCAGTACCAGGAGGACTGGCCATATGGAGCAAGCAGCGACTGCGCGTGATACGGGGGTCAGGCCCACGGTGCGCAGGCGTTCGCCGAAGTCCAAGTGGTCGGTTATAGGTGCTTGCAGGAGTAAGGTACTCCCAGACTTTGAACCCAAAGAAGATCCGGTAGAGGTCGAGTGGGACGAGGCCGACTTGATCGAAGCCTGGGAGCAAGGTATCACGCTTCCC